ACCTGCATAAAATCCTGTTACTTTTGTGTCAGAAAATCTGATATGTGACATAAAGATTTAATTGTGATGGAGGTATTATCTAAGTTTCAACAGTATGCAAAGGACCAGAGGAAAATAAAAACCTACAAGGTTTTCCTACTTAGATAATTACAATGTTCTTAGAGAATTTTTTCTGTTGCTTTGGGACCGAAACACAAAGCCTCGCGTGAACAGTTAATTAAGTTTGGACCGAAATGCAAAGCTTTGCTTTTCACCCTCTGTAATTTCAGTTGTCTACCGATTTCCTCCATTTCTAATTAATCTTCTTTTAATTAACTTAGAACGCACCTGCTACTCTTACTCTGGTTACCACTGATAGGAATTTCGCAGTTCGATTTGATTGCAGATGATATTCATGGAATGGGAAAAAGATTTATATGAAGACACATCCGGTGAGATGTCTGTAGCAGAAGACTGAAACTTGATAAGCTTGAAAATTTCTATGAATCTGGTAACTGTCCATTTTAATTACACTATAGACAATTTGTATTTACAATGAATTTACCGGTTGCCAATTCAATGTAAACGATTAAAAATGACGCATTAAACATGCACATGTAATAAAAATAGCTTAGCTATTTCTGGATGTAAATACATTAGGCAAGTTCTTGCGTAATAAACAATACGTTGCCAGTTTTAAAGAACACGCGTAGAGTAAAATATTCCAGTTAATTTTAAATACTCTTCAAAACGTTTGTGAATGGAGATCAGAGTTAAGAAGTATACTTTGATGCATGAAACCAAATAGGTTATGAACTAATGAAAATTCATAGCCCATTTGCATCACTCTATCTGTAGTTACTGTGTGTCTTGGTCTTTCCTAAGTTGAAAAGTTACCATTTAGCTATTGAACAAACTAGCTATATAATTTGAAAAACACAATAAGTACTACAGAAGTTTAAAAATATTGTTATCACATATATCATCTATACTTTTGTTTAAAAATACATTACAAAAGTATTTGAAGCTATAGTTGCTCTTTCTCTGGAAATGAATTTCAAAACTTCTCGTGATCTGTTTGTACTTCCTGGAGATTCTATTAACTGTTAAGCACAACATGCAATTTTTTCATACAACAACGCATATTTTGCCATGAATTTCCGTTGCACTTTAGTCCTCAGCTTGAAGTAATATAATAACAAACCGATTTTTCCTCGTACCAGAAACATGAGTTTCATTAGATATATTCACAAGTAACTTTCTTAAGCAGCAATGGGACAATTATCTAATTTTTGTATATTTTAAAACAGCTTTCTTCCTTTATTTTTTTTTTATTTTCAAATTATTCTAAATTTAAAAATAGCTCTTTGCATATATATTGTTTTATAAATAATTAGGGAATGCAGTTAAAGCGATTACATTACGCGAGAACCTGAAATATGTATTAGAAAGCCGAACAGCAAACTATTACTCTCAGATGTTCGAATGTTTCACTGTTGGAGATGACGAGCTCTGCAATACAAATATTCCATACAGAACTTAGCAGCAGATAAAATTTTTAATTAATGATTTATTAAGCTATATCTATGTTCCGAATGCAGCTTGCGCTAAGAAATATTTAGCTTAGGAAATTTTAAAATTCTGAATACAAGGTGGCGACTAATATATTAATAAATGTAGAAAAAATGTATAAATTGAAGATAATGAAATAGATATTATACAATTATACATTGTATAATATCTATTAACAAAATATATCAGAACTGTAAACTCAAAAGGAAAGAGTACATAAAACTTTCGGCATAATTCATAATTATATATAATTGTATAAAAACTTGCTAATGATATTAGGTTTTTCTCTGTCTGAAGTATTCGATTTGGAGTCTAATTAATAACATTTTTAAGGATATAACCGTACTGAAAACATATATTCCGAGACCTGCGAAAGTTTTGAGGAATTTGTTTCGATTAAGTTGCTTTCAAATAGTCTAATGATGTGTATAAAGGGTCACATAAGTAGAGAACTCAATTCTTCTGCAAGCGAAGAATATAATAATTTCCACTACTTTTTAATGGAATAGTTATTGTTAAATATCCAGAGAAGCATCTACTATAATTGTTATCCCAAAGGAGTGATTTGCCCAGAAGGGCTATTAATTTCGTTTTGGCATTTTGCGTTGATTCACTATAGACAAAGAATCACTTTTTAAATTGTTGCCACCAAATATTAAAGCCCTGTATTATATTTAAAGAAAAAATTAACTGATGAAGAATCGGCGTAAATATATGTATGTTTCTCGTTCTGTGAAAAACCAACGGTACCTAGAGCCATTAAACTTTGAATAACGTAATCCTCCAACTAATATGGGCATCTGGAAGCCCAAATTTGAAATAAAGCGAGCAATTGCAATACTGTACAGAAAAAAATTATTTTTATCGCTAACGAGCGAAACTGCATATCGAATATTCTAAAGATATGTTTTAAATATTTTGTAAAATTGCTGTTGAATTGAATTTTATGGTTTATGTGCGATGAACGTGATATTTAATAAATAAAGGTAACAGCCGCTTTGGGCGTAATATAAAATTTCAACGTTTTAAGATTTTTTTTTGTTGTTGTTGTGTTTGTTATTGTTCGGGGAGGGGAGAAAATAATGATTTCTTCTTGGGAGAATATTCTAAGGCAAAATGCTGTTTTTATAAATAATAGAAGCGAATAATGGAGTCTCACCTTCTTCTCAGTATCGTATGAAGCAATTTTATTTTTAAAAGTTTGAATCGGTAAAGAGAGGCATTAATTAAGTATATTATTCTTCTAGAGATAAGCTATTGTATTGTGAAATAAAAATATACCAATTGTTGATTTAAAAATTAAAAACTACTAAAATCGTAGTTAGGTTTCTAAGGGAAGGGTTGAGTTAGAGGCAGTGCACTTTTTATAAATTTGTATATAGATTTTAAGTAAAATCAGCTTTCGGATGTAAAGAATAGGTAAGGTTTACTAAAGTAACTAACAATAAACCTCTTTAAAAAATACTTTTCTAGGGTTAGAATATATGCAAGAAATAATTGTTATATGCAAAGCAATAGAACAAAATTCCAGAAAAGATTGCAAGACGTGCATTTTTAAAAGCTGAAAAGAGAATGCAGGCAAGTAATGCCGATATAAAATAGTTACACTTGGGTAACAGTTCTAGAGATTGTGTGATTGCTGTGAAGAGAAAACTGATAAGGAGTCGTTTTAAATAAGAAATGTACAAAATATAAAAATTTCAGATATAAATGTGGGATTTTAAATCCGTAGCTTAATATTTTTCCTCGCGCGCTGTCTAAGTTTTAGCTTTTGACTGCACGAGTGAAACTGATAGAACTCTCGCCACTTTGTTTTATGAGAGGAGATGTAAGATGATATAGATATAGTATTAATAGATATAAGACGTTATAGTAGTCATATTAATAGATGTAAGATGATATAGATCTTGTATTAATAGATAAACGGTGTTATAGATGCTGTATTAATAGATGAACGATCTTATAGATTTATTAATGTTTCATTAAATGTGTTTTGTTTGAATATGAATTGTGATTTCTAAACTAAAGAAGCCACAAAATTGGTGTCAGAATCGGGGTCAAATTACAAACAACAAATAGAGGAATGTGACGCAATATTGGATGAAAGAAGGAATACTTCTGTTAATAGTGAAATCGATGCATCAACTGCTCGAATTTTCAACGACTCTTCTTTTGCTGCTGTTGATGAAGATCATGAGCTAAAACAAAATATTAGTAAGTCATCAGTTCAATTTCCATTTTCACAGATTTCAAATGCGTATATAAATTTTAATGATATTGAAAGCTTGATTTCTAAATTTGATGGTAATTCGTATAATTCGGTTGACAAATTTATTGAAAACTTTGAGGATGTATCTAATTTGTTAAAACTAAATGAATTGCAGAAACTGATATTCGCCAAAAGATCTTTAACTGGCAAAGCAAAATTATTTATTGAAAGCGAAAGGAAAATTAATTCGTGGAATGCAGTTAAGGCTTTATTAGTGAATGAATATGGTGTTCAGTATAACTCTGCTCAGTTACACGAATTATTATCAAAACGTAAAATGCAGAAAAAAGAATCCCTTTATGAATATTTTTTGGTAATTAAATATCTATGTTCCAAAGGTAATATTGAAAACGCCGCTTTATTTGAATATGTTGTTAATGGTATAAACGATTCTACATTTAATAAAGCTATTCTTTATTGTTGTAGGCCCACCAGCGGCCGAGCGGTAAAGTCGCTGAACACTGGTAGTTCGGTCCGAGGTTCGAATCCCGCGAACGGGCTGGCTGCATGGGCGTTTTCGTGGTTTTCCCCATGTGTAACGTGTATACGAGCCAGTTTCCCTTGCAAAGTCCTCCACGAAGGCATCCCTCCCCTTAGGCAGATAGCCCTAGTGTGCTTTGCCATAATTAAATAAACCAAAAAACCAAACCAAACCTTTATTGTTGTAAAACGTTGACAGAATTTCAGGAAAAACTTAAGATATATGAAAAAATTAAATTAGATAATGATAAAAATAAACCCGTTAAGCCTAATTCTAAAACCAGAAGCGACCATTTTGAAAGTAAAATAAAAACAAATATTCGTTGCTATAACTGCGGAAATCTTGGTCACATGGAGAATTTCTGCAAAAATAAGAGCAAGGGGAAAAAATGCTTTCGTTGTAATTTATTTGGACACGTAGCTGCAGAATGTATAAAAATTAAGACAAACACAAAAGATCTTGCCAGAGTGAATCATATATTTGTAAAGAATCAGTTAAATGATATGCATAAAATTGTATCGATAGATAATGTAGAAGTAAAAGCTTTCATTGATACAGGAAGTGTTATAAATATAGTATCGGAAAATATTTATAAAATAATTGGTTCACCTAATATTAATTCTTCCGATTTGATTCTAGTAGGCTTTGGTAATAATAAAGTAAAACCTATTGGTTATTTTAAAGGTTCCATACGAATTGATGATTCAAGAAAATGAGTTAGATAATAGTTCGGATATTAATAAAGCATGTGACCCCAAAGTAAAATACTTAACTGAAAATTATATTCCTAAAACGAAAAACCCTATAGAAGAAACAGATGCTGCTTTAGATGAATTAAAGGAAGAGGTGTCTCAGGAAGAGAAAAGTGATGTTAAAAGTGGGAAAGGAAAATCGCAAAATGTAGAGGAACAGAAGAATTCCATTCCTAAAGGAAGAAGAAAAAATCCACATAAGAAAATTCAGGAAATCAAAGAGAGTAATGGAAAAATTAATGATTCCAAAATCCCCACTTCAGGACCAAAAAGTTCTAGAAAAAGAATGAATTCAGGATATGAGATATTAGTTGAATATAATGCTGCTGAAACAGAAATAACAATAGTAAAAAAAAGTAAACAGAAAGAGAAACTTCCAGCTAAAGAACTGGATCCTGGTATGTTTGAAAAACTTAAAGGAAGACAAGCCAAAGGAAAATTTACTAATACTGAAATGCATATTGTTTTAAAAGATGGCCTACCTATTTCTCTGATACCCAGACGTTTACCAATTATAGATAATCAAAGTGTCCAATTAAAAGAAGAAAAATCTATTTTACAAATGGATTTGGATGCTTCTGAACAACAAATTAGATCTTTGGAAAGAAAACTTTCTGTATCAAAACAGACTGTAGAAATGTTACAGAAGCAACTATCAGAAGCAAAGAATAAAGTAGAAGCTGCAAAATTTCAGAGGAGAACCAAAGATAAAATTCTGCCTGAGAAAGAAAATGAAGTTGAAAATGTTAAATTGAAAATGTTAGAAATGCTAGCGTTTGTAAATGATCGCATGAGAAAAATTATGGAGAAGAGATTATTTGTGAAACAAGCAGAATTGAAAAAAAAAATATATGTATCACTGATAAAAAATTTCGTCAGCTACGAGAAATTCTTAATGCTGATGATTGGGAACATTATGGAGACCTGTGGGATGCTGCTGCTGTTCCAACACCATCTAGTGTGACTTCAATTTACAAATCAACTAAACTTAAGGCAAGGTTATACAAAAGGCATAAATCTTTCCTTGAAGAACCTTCTGTCCCCAAAACAAGATTTCCTAAAGCAATATCAGTTAATGTAAATTAAAGTTAATTACTTTTATTTCAGTTAATGTTAAGATGAAATGAAGTTTCCGAAAATGTTAAAGATTCAAGATATTTTTCATTTCAGATGAAATTTTCTGAAAAATAGAAGGGACTATTGACGATGTTATTGTTGCAAAGATGGACTTTTAAGATGTTTCCTTATTGTCCTTATGACACAGTCTTCCCCTCCTTTCGTACTTCTTTTTAGGTTTCAGCTTACACATGATGATGGTTCTTTTACCGAAGACAATAATGATGATAATGATGTAAGATGACCAATGATGTATGATGTCAAGAGTAGAATAATGTCGTCGAGGTCGACGCATAGCAGGAAGGCCGTATGTGGGATTTTAAATCGTAGCTTAATATTTTTCCTCGCGCGCTGTCTAAGTTTTAGCTTTTGACTGCACGAGTGAAATTGATAGAACTCTCGCCACTTTGTTTTATGAGAGGAGATGTAAGATGATATAGATATAGTATTAATAGATGTAAGGCGTTATAGTAGTCATATTAATAGATGTAAGATGATATAGATCTTGTATTAATAGATAAACGGTGTTATAGATGCTGTATTAATAGATGAGCGATCTTATAGATTTATTAATGTTTCATTAAATGTGTTTTGTTTGAATATGAATTGTGATTTCGAAACTAAAGAACCCACATATATAAAAAACATTTTTAATTGTAAATTTTGATACAACCTGTGTCTACACAATTATGTCCCGTATCCGCAGATTCATTATTATTAATTGCAGTAAACAGAGATTTACAGATTGGTGTAGGGGAAAATGTTTAGTTTATCAAGGCTTAGGCAAGTGAAAAGTACTGGAAGAAAGTACGTTCAGAAGATAAAGAAATGCAGTATCTGAAGTACATCTAATATTGATTCGTTTTCTATAATTAACCAAAATATGACCTACTTGCATATTTATCTCGAATTAATGTAACCATGTAGAAGGATGGTCATTGATGATCCCTTTAACAGCTAAAGCTAAGATTTTAGACAAGCTCTTTGAAATTATCCTAGATCTTTTCAAACCTTTTTTTCCCTGTTACGAAAGCAAGGGAAGTGAGTTGTGCGTGGGAACCCTGAAACGTAGCTGTGCCTAGGCCGGATATTATCTTAACTGCACCCACACAGAAGCTACGAAATGCATGTGTTCACTGCTTAATATGATATCTCTCGAAATTTTGCAATTTTTTATTGGTAACCCGTTTTATTGCTGTATATATTAAGTATATTTTTGTATATATTTTATTGCTTTATTGCTGTTTATTGCTGTATATATTTTATTGCTGTATATTATAAGTATATTGGGAAGACATAACAGTTACTTGTGAGCAGAGAGTACCTGACTCACTTTGCTTTGATTTTGTGTCATTTATTCCTCCGTTAAATTTGCCTCACCCATATTCTTACCTAGCTTTCTTCGTACACTTATTAGCAACGCATTAATCGCGGTTTTTCTTTACTTTGGTAGAAAATAAATATTTTTTTTTTGTGAATTATCTTAAAATAGTACATAATACATACTATTTAATACGGTATATTTCTAAAAAAGTTTCAGACGTCCTTTTTTTTTCGGATTTGTTTAAAGCTTTGGAAATTCTTAATTTTATGTCTACGAGAAATATTGTAAAGTACAGTTTGCATTACTTTATTTAGTTGTACTACAATATGTAACGTAGTGTAAAGGATATCGTACTTTATTTTTATTTTAACTAATGCTGCAATGGCTTATCACTTATATTTATCAATTAAATTTCGCTGCATTTAGAGCAAACGCTGCTTATTAAGCTCACTGTTTAAAAATCTCAGTCACCTATTATTTTCATATTTCCAGGGACCAAAACAAGTGTATATAAATTAATAAAAATGTCGCCTGTCGCCGTTTATTAAAAATATCTTCACCGCTTATGAAACTCAGATTAATAAAAGACTTATTTTTCAGTGCCAGATCCTTCTAATGTCTATCAAAGCTGTCTGTAGTTCGTTCATCCGTTCAACCAGTAAGTTATGGACAATGACTTATTTATCATTCAGATATATAATTCTTCAAAGTACTTTATTTGGCTGAAAGTTTGGTCAGTGTAGGTCTACCCACTACCGAATCCTGTACATTACAGGCACTGTTTACAAAGTATTTTGGTCCAGACTATAGCTTAATTTTCTTATTTTATGCTTAACAAAAGCAATCATTTAAGGCATTCCCAATTAGGGAGTGCTTCTTTTCGAACACCAGATAATAGGAAGCGGAACTGAAATCTCTACATCCCATTTTTTACTATTTTCAAATTTAAAATCTTTCCCGTTAGGATATACCCATTACGTTCACAAGAAATCCTCATAAAACTTCAAGAAATGCTTCTTAATATTAATGTATCATATATCAATATTTCATGGAAAAGTAATTGCTGCAGTAGGCTAAAGAAAAAGCAAAGAAAAACGTTATTGTTGCCCTGTCCATGTAATTCATGGCAGAATGGTTGTTAGAACCTCAAGAAGGTTGGATTTCTACTCCTCCCCCGGTTTTGAGGCAGAGCACCCCACGGGGTTTTCCGTGAGTCTCCCATTTCTCTTCCCTACCACTAAACCCATGGAGGTTAGAATAGGCTATTCTAATCTTCTTGGTTAGGAAGGAGTAAGAAGGAGAGGCCCTAACGCGTTTTCCACATGCACTGTTTTGAAGCACTGACGATCCCTTCGTCGTGACCTAAACATTCATTGACTTACCACTAAGGGGGGATCAATGGGGTTTTGACACGATCGGATGTAAATATTTTGTAATTACGTCGTAAATATACATATAAATATAAATATTTGCGTTTTCTACAATATTTCAGAGTCCTAAATATGTGACAAGAATACATTTTTAAGCAACATTTCATTCTGAACGGAATGAAACGCTACACTTTTCACAGAACAGTTTGCTCATAACGGTTTAATTTGAATGAAGTAATTTCACAAGTTTTCGTTAATTACATTAGGGATAAAATTAAGGTAATTCAATTTTTATTCGATTAAGCATTACAAAAATTAAGATCAAAGTTTATTGTATTATTAATATTAAAATTGTGCATTATTTCTTTTCTATTTATAGAGCTTCTTTCTGAAATACATTCTCAAATATGACATTTTTTTTTATCTTCTGATGCATCTTTTAAAGTGAAAAATCTATGTCAGTTTATAATTAATCCTCTGGTATGTCCATTTCAAATTAGAGCACCTTTTATTTTATAGTGAAATACGTTAAATATTTGTGCTCATTTCAATGTACTTAGTTTTATCTGAATATTCCTGAAAGGAAATAAAAAAAAAAAGATTTTCTTAAATATTATTTAAAACTTGTAACTGAGTTATTATAAAAATGTAAGGGAATAATTCATTTAATTATACTTATCAGATTTTTTTAACCCTTAATTTCAACAATACGTATTCTAAACCTCTTCTTTATTAATTCCTTAAGTACGCATCTCATAGAATTTGCTTTACAATACCTTTTAACAGATTGCTTTCCAGTACGAACAATTCTTGCTTAAATAGTTTTTATAAACGTATTTCTCAACAGGATTTCAGTTTATGTTTACAATTCAATGTTAAGGTTATTATATATTTAGATAATATTAATAGTCGTTAGAAATTTAGATACATTTAATAATTAGATTTCTTCACAGTAACTTTCACAGGAGTTTATGAATGAATAAATCCTTCATTTCAAATACATTTAAATAAATAAATAAGTAAAAAGTGCAAACCCAAAGTGATTATTTTATAGTTATATAAAAATAAAATGAGGAGTTTAGAATGAGGAATCTTACAATAATATGTGGATGACAAAAATAATTTTATTTAAAACATTTTGGCGTTTGGAACATAAAATAAAAGTCGCGAATACTCTATCTAGAATATCTAGGGTATCGAAAGACGTATATAATTTTAAACGTACCGTAAGGTATTTTTCATTCTTTAAGCATAGCATTTTTGCTAAAATCTATATTTTTGTAGTTCAACAGCTTAGAATTTTATAAAACAAATTCATAATCAAAACCGCTCTTGTTGGTTATCGAAAAATTAACCAAGCTATGATTTTTGCTTAAATGTCACTAAATTATACAAATTGCTATTATCCATTACACAATGAATATTTCTTTTATGCGGAAGTGCCCCATTTTTCGATTTGTATGGAACTGTCGCGTGTCGAAATACTATCAAAGAGCTGTCAAGGGAGCTTCTGAATGTAAACAAAAAACACCCCATCTTGGAGACCGAAGCATCGGATCAGTGCTTCATTCGTAGTGCGGAGTTGGCCCCTCCTTCCTTTCTTATGTCTATGACTAAGCCATACGAGAGGAATTTCGACTCATCATATAGTTAGAGTGCTGCCGTGCAGAAAAAGGCACTATACATTTACAAACACCCACGCCTTCTCCAAGATTCGAAGCTTGGCTCTGCGGTACTGCAGTAGGCTTCCCTAATCAATATACCCTGTGGGCGGCAAAGTAAACGATAGTCATACCTAATCAAAAGAAGTGTATCGACTAAGAACTTAAGAATAACAAAAAACTAAGAACTTAATAATATAACTAAAAAATTACTGATCTAAAATACGAAACAAACACACATAGATAAGTACATTTTGTGCTTATATAAATAACTTTCTTTCATCATTAATTTTAATTATTATTTTAATTATTAATTTTTATATTAGTTGTTAGTTAATTTCTCATTCCCTAAGTTAAAAGATAATATATTAATTTGTAGTATGCAGATGGCAGTCTATTAAAATCAGCCGCTTTATAAGCACACATATATAATGAAATATTGAAATATTTTGTTCCAATTAAATATATAGAACGGAAATATTTTAACAAGCTTTGAGTACGCTACATTAATATCTAATTTTTATAGCGTTCTTTATTAGCAGCGGTTACTCTGGGTGTGTGTGTATTTAATTATGGCAAAGCACACTAGGGCTATCTGCCTAAGGG